CACTTTTTTTAACACTGGTGATTCCACAAAGAACTTGTACCAATTTTCTTACTATGATAATCATAGTTTTTTCCATTAGGGCTGAAATTTTCGAAATTGTATAATAGATATTTTTTGGGCTGTAAAAGTTATAAATAATAAGTAAATAATACATATATGCATATATATTCTTTGGACCGTAAATTTGTCTAAATAGACTAATATTTTTTTATTCCTATATTATATATAAGCATGTTCATCGGTTGACATCCACTAGATGTGAGAAACACCGAAACGATCCAATTATCCATTAGATGTTGGGTTTTGCCAATCGATCCATTCCGATTAACATTGAACAACTGATCCAATCTAATCCAAAGGACGATTGGATCGGTTCGGTTCCCTCCATTTGGATCAGATTGTGTGATAACCGGGTTCCGTTTATATATCTGGAGATAACTATTTGATTATTTGGTTACATGATTATTGATGTGATAAATTGTGTATAATTAATCCATAATGTGAGTATATGCATATATATATATATATATATGTGTGTGTGTGTGTGTGTGTATGTGTGTGTGTAAATGTGTAGGAGTATATGCATACATGGGTTTGTTTGTGAGTACATGTGCATATGTTTAAATATGTATGCATATGCATGATTATGTGAAGGTGTTGGTGCATATGCATAAGGTTGTGAAGGATAAAAGAATTTTATAAATATTTCATTCCTAAACCGCCTCTTATGGGTTATTATTATTATAATTGAAGATGAATGAGATAAGTGTTTTATTTCTTTGGTAAGTGTGATATTTTGATTTTAAAACAATTTATCTTCACCGTCTTTTTTGATTAAATATAAAAGGAGTGATAAGAAATTTATCTTATCTGTGGTTTTTGGAGAGAGAGAAAAGAAAGAATCCTTTTTGTGTGTTCTTAAGAAATTCTTATATGGTTTTTGGTAAGAAGAAGAAGTTGATTCTGTGATAGTATTTGAAGTCGTTGTTGTGTGATCCATCTTCAAATACGTTCATAAGGTGAGTTTATGTTATCAAATTTATTTATTTGATGTTTAAGTTAATGAACCTCATGGTTCATATGTGGGAAGTTGATAAAAGATTTCTTGAAAGTTGTTGAGTTTAATGGTGAATTTGGTATGAGAACTTTAAGGTTCTTATATGAATTTATGTTTGAAACTGTTTGGTTTCCAGCTTTGGCAAAGAAAAAGGAGGATTTGGGTCATGATTATATCATGATGTGTTGTAATAAGGGTGGCATATCAAGGAGTTGCATACAATGGTAATAAGGGTGACACAATCAGGAGATGCGTACATTTGTAATAAGGGTGGCAAAATCAGGAGTTACGTACATTGGTGATAAGGGTGTCATAATCTACTTTATGGAAGTGATGATCTTTTGATCATGGGTTTTGTACCACATTCTTGTGAGGTGATGATCTTAAGTTATCATATTTGTGTGATATGAGGACTTAGGTTCACATCCTATGGGTGTGATGAAAAGAAGTGTTTGAGGATAGAGGCTCTGGTTGGTCTTTGTGTGGAAACAGATGACCTCTGGTTGTATGTAGGACTTTGATCCTTTCAAAATATTAAATTTATCTTGAACTAGAGATTTTGCATGTGCTATGCAGAGGCCTTGTATTTGGAATTCGAATTATATGTTCGAGCTTTGTGTTTTAAACTGTTTCCAAAACTTCATTTTCATATTAAACACTTAGAAGTCAGAACATAGTTCAACCAGAGAAGCTTTGGTTGTCTAGGGGGCTTCTAGTTGACTTAATTCTAGGTAGTTTTCTTCTAAGTTCCTTGGAAAGTGAACCAGAGTTGATATTCACATTTAACCGGAGGGCCTCTGGTCATATATTAAGTTCATTACAAAGATTGCTTTTAAGTATATCATCTTTGGTTAGGCGAACCAGAGGCTCTGGTCGTCCAGAGGGCCTCTAGTTGGCTATGGCATTTTATGACTTGTTTCTAATTAGGTCAATGCTTTCAAATTGTCTATCTTAAAAGTATTTAATTTGGTCAAAAGTAGTATAGAAAAGATCTAATTTGTCTTGGACTTCTGGTTGAGTTGGAAGTTCAGGACCAGAGGTTCTGGTTAGTAGGACCAGAGGCTCTGGTCGTCCAAAGAGCTTCTGGTTGGGCTTAGCATTATATTTGGAATTTGATTTTGATCAACTTATTATTCTCTTATTTTAAAATAGGACTGATCTGGTTGTTAAACTAGAGGGGGCTCTAGTTGTTGAACCAGAGGGACTCTAGTCCTTATGGGACAGAGGGGTTCTAGGTGGTCTCACACAGTATGATGCGATGAGTTAAGAATCTTACATCATCTATGGCAAGGAATATTTATAAATCCTTTTTGGAACGTGTTATTTGAGTTAGGATTTATAACAAGTTGTTTTATATTTGTTTGATTACAAATATAATTTTAACCCGTTTTGGTGATCTTCACCCTGTAAATGCAAATAAAGGAGTATCTCACTAGGCCTTCTGGTCTAACCTTATTTTGTGTTTTAAAATATGCATTGCAGGATCAGCAAGGTCTCGGGATAGTAAGGGAAATAGGAAAATATGATTATTTTTCTTATATGTTTATCTGCTGTTTTTGAAGATCAACATGTTCATTGATGTATTTTGAAGATACATGTTGTGATACATGTGATAGTACAAGAACATTATTTTAGAATTTTTGAATTGTAATTTATGTAACATAAGTTTCTTGTACTAGTGGGATCTATGTGGTGTAATCTGTATTTCTTTTATATGAAGTACACATAATATGCAAATGAGGAGTATGGGGTGTTATAGATTGGATATTCATCGGATATTCTTATTGGATCCATTTGACATCCAATGGGTGATCAGATCCATTTAATGTGTTAATTTAATCCAATTCTCTTACAATGAAAAAAATTGATTAATCATTTTTAGAATGTATTAAGACCAACACAAGAGAGACTAAAAATTCAAAAACCAACACAAAACATATTCAAACATAAGTAAATTGAAAGAAAATTAATTGGATGACAGTTGGATGGATGATAACTGGATGATTAATTAGATGGGCAATTGGATGTTGGTCGCTTCGGCCAGTTTTGGTCGATTCTAGATTGTCTTCCAAGAACCGACCGATCCAAATTAGATGTTGAAAATTTTAATCTGATCCGATCCAATTACAATTGGATATCTAATTGTGGTCGGACAGTTATAATTGGATCAATCTGTTCCAATTGGATTGATTGACTCTGGTACACCCCTATATATATATATATATATATGGGCTCATTCAAAGAAGAACCGACTGGCTTATGGTAACCGTGAGATCCAATCTCAACCACAAATTAATAGATAAATTAGGAAATGTATAATTTTGGTAAATTTGAATTAAAATTTTAATGCAAGTACATTTTAGATATTTTCTCTCATCTCTCCGTCCCTCGTCCTCCGGCCTTCGGCCATCGTCCTCTAGTGATATCATTGTGATACCTAAAAATATTGACTATGTTAAACAAAATACACAATGTGATATCCAAGCACATATATGATTAATTGTGATATCACTGTGTTACATCTCTGATCGAATACACACACGACCTTAGTATGATACCCAAACACATATAAGATGCATTGTGATACCACTGTGGTATCACCGGAGGAAAGTGGCCGGAGGCCGGGGGACGGAGAGAGATGAGATGAGAGAAAATACCTAAAATGTCCTTGCATTAAAATTTTATTCAAAATTACCAAAATTATAAATTTCCTAATTTATCTATTGATTTGTTGTTGAGATTGGACGTCACGGTTACCACAAACTAATTAGTTTTCATTTGATTAGATCCATATATATATATATATATATTAGCAACAGGTTAGACGAGTTGAACTAGGCCTAACCTAATTTCAAACCTCTTAATTGACGATTTGAATTTAATTAGGTTATTAACGGGTTGGATTAATGAAGTTTTACGGATTAACAGTTTTTTGCACACCCCTAAATACAAGTACTTAGCTAATAATCAAGAGTTCAAAATAACTATTAGTAGAACGCAACTAAGAAAGCATATGTACTTTTATAATGACCGTGAATAAGCAAATAAGTAAATTTTAAGTTAACATATTTATAAAACTTTAATGTTATTTTGTTCTTCTATCTACAAACTTAATTTGATTTTCAAATTTGAATCTATATATCAAGAAATTTTACAACTTATCAAATCCAATCATCCGCAACACTAATAACAACTTCCATTTTGCTCCCAAAAATCACTAAGGACGTTTACTAAACCCTTACTTTGTAAGTGTTTATCGGGTAATTTTTTTTATCTGATGAACATAATAAGGGTCAAAAATCTTAGCCGGTAAGAGCAATGATAAAGATGAAGAGTCTTACTCGGTAATTAAAGATGTCGACTCTTACCCGGGTAAGTGCCGGGTAAATTGTTGCATACGATATCAAATTTAATGTATTACAATTTTACATGATAAAATAAATTATATTGTTGATTTTTAACAATAAGTGCTTACTAGGTAAACCTAAGACACGATTGTAAGGTTCCTTTGACAAGGTTATGTTAGATTAATTGGCTGTTTATGATTTAGAATATCACTTTTTATGTTTCTTTTGTTTTAATATAAATAAAAATACCATTTTTTTGTCCTATGATTTAGTAATTTATCAAATTTTATTCTTATTTTGAAAAGTTGATGAATCAGATACTTGCGATTGTATTTCTTTTAGCGAATTGGGTCTCTAATGCAGTAACATGAACCTAATTCTTTAATTTCTTTAGTGACTTAACTCGTTAAAAGATTACAACCATAAAGATCTAGCTGACTGACTCATTAAAAAAGTGCAATCATAATTTGTTAATTTTTTCAAAATAGGGACGAGATATGTTAACAACACCAAACATCAAGGACTAAAAATGTAATTCAGTGTAGTTTAGTTGATTTGAGAAAGACGAGTGGTTATTACACGCTCTTGATGTGAAGTTGGGTCGTCTTATATTCAATTCATTCATACTCGAGGTACGCGGTGTCGTTTTACTCTCCCAGGTCAGGTTGACCAACATCCCAAAGACATTCTTCCCTCAATATCTCCAACCTTCTTAATCGATTAGGGTTTTACAGAGTCATTCAAATTCAGGTTTGAGATTTTTTTTTATATTTTCCTTCATCTATTTGCTCGTTTACTTGTTCATTGTTATTGTTTTTATTTGAAGTTTGGATTGAATTTGAGAACCTGGATATCAATATTGCTGTATTGAATTCATAGTCAGTTGAAATACTTGTTTTTGGTATAAATTGATATAAGAATCATTTTAAGCTTGGATTTGGGGTTTTGTGATTAAAAGTGGTTATATTTTTGAGGGTTTACTGATAATTATTTGGAGTGAAAATGGGGAAACCTACCGGTAAGAAGATGTTGCAAAGTGGGGTTGAGAAAGTTGTGAAACAGAACAAAGCAGAAAAAAGTTCGAAAAAGTTTGATGAAGATACGGCTGTCTTCATTCAAATGTCTCAGGAGTTGAAGGAAGAAGGGAATAGATTGTTTCTAAAGCGTGACAATGAAGGTGCGATGTTGAAGTATGAGAAGGCTCTTAAGTTGTTACCTGGGAACCATATTGATGTTGCTACTTTACACAGTAATATGGCTGCTTGTTATATGCATATGGGTATTGGTGAGTACCCAAGAGCAATACATGAATGCAATTTGGCTCTTGAAGTTGCTCCTAAGTATAGCAAGGCTTTGTTGAAGAGAGCAAGGTGTTATGAGGCTCTGAACAAGTTAGAATGGGCATTGAGGGATGTTAAAAACGTGTTGAGCATGGAGCCCAATAATGTCACAGCTCTGGAGATTGAAGATTCGGTAAAGAAGGCAATTGAAGAAAAGGGACTGAAATTTGAAGATATCGAAGCTGTTATACCACCGGATTATGTCGAGCCGTCTGCATTGAAGGCAGTCAAAGTGTTGAGAGAGAAGACAAAAAAGAGGAGGAGCAATAGGGTTGAGAAGAAGGGTGTTGAACAAGTCATGCAAAGCAGGGGTGAAGAGGTCAAGGAAAACAAGGTTGTAAATGTTAAGGACAACAAGACTAAGAGAGTTAAGGACAAGAGGGTTGATCAAGTGGAAGAGAAGAAGGTACTCATTGAGGATAAAAATAGCATTAAAGAAGAAAAACTTGTAACAAGGGTAGTGAAATTGGTGCTTGGGGATGACATAAGGTGGGCACAACTACCTATTGACTGTAGCATTGGTTTGGTGAGAGAGATAGTTTGGGACCGTTTTCCGGGTTTAGAGGGTGTGCTTATCAAGTATAAAGATCAAGAAGGAGATTTGATCACCATCACAACTACTGCTGAGCTGAGGTTGGCTGAGGCTTCCAGTGATCCTCAAGGTTCTTTGAGGCTCTACCTAGTAGAAGTTAGTTCAGATAAAGAGCCATCTTACGAGGGCTTTGTAAGCAACGGTTTTCCCACGAGTAGCTTAATATCTAGTGTTTCCGAGAACGGCAATGTGGGAAAAAACAGGGAAGTAGATAAAGTTACAACTTGTGTTGAGGATTGGATTGTCCAGTTTGCAAGGCTCTTCAAGGATCATGTGGGATTCAATTCTGATTCATATTTGGATATTCATGAGCTTGGAATGGAACTGTATTCAGATGCAATTGAAGAAACTGTTACAACGGAAAATGCCCAAAAGCTTTTCGATATTGCTGGAGCGAAGTTCCAAGAGATGACTGCTTTAGGATTGTTTAACTGGGGGAATGTTCACATGAACAAGGCGAGGAAGTGGGTGGTGTTTGCGGAAGATGGAACCGAGGAATCAATACAAGAGCAGGTGAAGACAGGATACGACTGGGCAGAAAAAGAATATGTAAAAGCAGGAGTAAGGTACAAAGAGGCTTTACAGATCAAGCCAGACTTTTTTGAAGGCTTTTTTGCACTTGGGCAGCAGCAGTTTGAACAAGCAAAGCTTTCATGGTGCTATGTGCTTGGAACCAAATCTAATTTAGAGGCTGGACCTTCTGCACAGATCTTGGAGCTATACAATAAGGCTGAGGACAGCATGGAACATGGAATGCAGATTTGGGAAGAGTTGGAGGAACAACGTCTAAATGGATTGAGCTTATATGATAAATATAGAGATGATTTGGTTAATTTGGGGTTGGAAGGGTTGTTAAAAGATGTATCTACCGATGAAGCTGCTGAGCAAGCTGCACACTTGAGATCTCAGATGTATATTTTATGGGGAACCTTGCTTTATGAGCGATCTGTTGTGGAATTTAAGATGGGTTTATCAGCATGGGAAGAATCTTTGGCAGCTTCAGTTGAAAAGTTTGAACTTGCTGGAGCATCGCCAACAGATCTAGCAGTAATTTTAAAGAACCATTGCTCGAATGGAACTGCTTCTGAAGGTAATTTAAGATGTTCCTAGAAAATGAATAGTATAAAGAATTACATGTATCTATTATGTAGTTTATTTTTCAGAAGTGGAACATGTTATACTTACTTTCGAACTTGCAAAGTGCAGGTCTTGGTTTCAAAATTGATGAAATAGTTCAGGCATGGAATGAGATGTATGATGTTAAACGGTGGCAAACTGGTGTTCCATCTTCCCGGCTGGAACCACTGTTTCGGCGTCGAGTCTCAAAACTACAATCTCTAATGGAACATCTCTGAGATTTCCATGCTCAAGCATATCTGTTGCAGTTTCTGAGTACGATTATGTAAAAGTACAGTGTGATTTGGAGCTATATGGTTGTCAGGTAAGATTGTTAATCCTTCATCTCTGATTTTGCTTTCTGTATAATTAAGAGTGAGCACATGCTGTTATTGTCAACTAATTGCATCATAGTAACTAGTAAGGATATGGCATGATCTACACATATCTGTGCATCACTTGGTGGTATCAGTAGACTTTCTGCAGAATATGAACAAGTCTCTATATAGTATTAACTGCGTATTGTAAATGGGATATGACCATATGTTAATTATCAAAAGTAAACACTTGAGTAGTTGTGAATAAGTTAATTCATTATCAACAACAATGCAATGTTACCATTTGTCTTGATAATCTTTTGACAGGCTATGTAGTAACTAGAGAGTGTGGTACATTTTGTTTCAACTCGAAATCTCAGATACACATGCATAGCAAATTACACAGCAGTGATAGAGCAATAGGGACTTGTTGATTCATATGTGGGATGTTTCAATTTCACGAGGAGTATTTAGAACCAGAATCTATTTGAAGACCAAAAACTAAAAATGGATCTCTACCCAGGAATATCCATTGTCATTAATTTCGATAATGATTCTGCTTCAGGTTGTGAGCCATTATCTATTGTAGTGAGTGATTGGGGGTGGCTTTGAATACCCCTATCCTACTACCCTAGAGACATAGTCTGATAGCTGTGATGTTACAGTCGTGAAAGATACAAAATAGCGGTCAGGACTAATAATTTGAAATAGGGTTATTGCGGTGGCATAGCGGTCAAAAAATAGCGCTTCATATAATATTTCTTAGAATTTGGATATAATATATATAATTATATATATATATGCATTAATCAAAAGTACAGTTTCAACATCTAAACATCAACTTAAGCTCGTTTCACAAAACAAAATAGTAAAAGTGTTCCTAAACGATGATAGAAAATTCGAACTCTGTCAAAGAAGGTTGATTGTCGACGATGATAGAAAGAAATTGAAAATCTAAGATTCTAAGAATTTCTAAGTCGGATGCGGGATGATATTCGTTGACAGTTAACGGATTAAAATAAAATAAGGGCCCAAATCAAAATAAAACCCACAAAAGGACAAAAACGTAAGCATCAGATTCAAAAGAGGCCCAATTGAGAATATTGGAATTGTGGGGGGGTTAAGGGATGGGAAATGGGAATAAAAATCATGAATTGTGTTTGGTTTGATGCAATGGAATGAGCAGTTACTAGATACCGTGTAATGAAGCATTTGTCAACATATTGGAGGGAATGAAACTCATTCTTACTTTGATGCCCAACATTCCCATTTCCGCTCTTGAGACGAACCAAGTGCCTCTTATTTGCTTTCAAGCTTGGAATCTTTGAGTTTGTTGTTCGGTTAATTTGGAATTTTGTGTTATTGAAATTCTTTAGGAATCTGCACTATTGAAGTTTGAAATTATGAAGATCAAATCTATAAATCCATTAAAATTTCACATGTTTTTGGTATCTATGCATCATATATATGTGTATATATGTATCTATCTTTCCTTTATATTTTTTAAACTACCAATTTTGGTCCCTGTGGTTTGTTGAAGATAGCACTTTTCGTCACTGCACTTTTAAGTTATAAGATGACCATCTTGGTTTGTAAAAATGTGCAGATTTAGTCCTTCTCTCTAATGGCTGATAAAAAATTCCGTTAAATGAGAGGCATTTTCATCATTTTATCGATCCTTTTGTTTTTTTAGCAAAATTGATTTGTAGTTATTTAACAAAAGTTAGTGGAGGGACCAGAAGAGAAACAAATTGGTAAACCATAGTGACCAGAATTGTAATTAGTTTAAAGTAGGGATTAAAGTTATATCGTGCATTGTCGGACTATTATAATAAGATATCATATATGTTATCACACAAGTTGATCGATTGAAATGGTACTATCGATGCATTTTGCAGGGGTTTTTTGTAGACTTGAAGTTTTGGTTTTTGGCCATTGGAGTTGAAAGAAGTGAAGAGTTTGTTTTTTGTTTGTTTGAAGCCATTTATTCATCATCATATACACTTTTGCTCTGGGATTGAGTAAAGTAGTATACACTAGAGTAAATTTTGCAACAGATTTCAGCGTTGTAGATGTAAAACATTCATTGTTTTAGGGTTCTTCTGCTCATGTTGAGCACTTCTTTGGAATTGTTCCTCTTTTCAGGATATATGATTGTTTTTGTGTACTTAATTGCATATTTTATGAATATATATACATTCATCTTTTTGTTATATTACTTCATATTTATCAAGAACTGATATGTAGACAAAATGGGTGACGTTTGGGTGTAGGTGATCTGTATTTGGTTTGATTCTGCAGGCTAGGATTGGCATGCAACCAGCCAATTCCCATATGGTTTTTTCTTTCGGCGTAAGAAGTGATCTAGATTCTTGATCACTTTTAGTCTCACCCATCCCTGAATTGTGCGATTTTCATAGGAATTGATCTGGTGCATTCTGTTACTGTTGATCTTCATTTTGGATGAATATTTAATCTTATCCTTCTGAGGATAACTTCTATTTTCATTGAGACCCAACTCTTTTTTGCCCAAATGGTATGTTCTTTGTTTCTTTGGCATTGGTTGATCATGTTGTTGCATTTATATTTGGGTTAAATGCGAGGGTTGGGTTTCAGTGAGAAAAGAAGTTACGGTGAAAAACATAAGAATCTCCACTATTGAATCAATCATAATTGAATGTCTTAACCGTAATGAGATGCATCAGATCAATTCCATTCTAAAGTGTAATTCATGAATAGACATGAGATTAAAAGTGATTAAGGGTTCAAATCTTTTTTTAACCTTCTCACCATAACTTCTTTTCTCACACGATTCTTCGTCAATGCAAGAAATAATGAGGTTTTTTCAACTTTTTATTTATTTATTATAACATTGTATTTTAATTAAAGTTTATAATAACCTAATCTTTTGTAAACATGTCTAATTTATAAATGATGTTTTAAAAAGATATTCCATTGTATGATTTTGTAGCAAGGAAAACAAAATTAAAACTATAACGTTATAATAAGAAAATATCAGAAAGTAAATAATATAATATGAAAAATGACGTGTTAACAACATATTCCATGTGGAACTCTCACGTCGACAATGACATGCCATAAAGATTTGTTAACTTTTGCCATGTCCTCGAGAGAGGGAGGCTATTGGCACCCCTAATCCTTGTTGACCACACCCTTAACTCTATTACAATCATATTTTTATTTGTTTTTTTGTCTTATTCTTTTAGGGAAAGGTTTAAAAAACCAAATGAACATTAATGTTTGGAATGATTAAGTTCTTGGACAATTTTTTAAAACAAATAAGTTTTTGGATATTCCAAAACTTTAAATAACTTCTTGAACTTTCTAAAACCTGTTAGTGTAATGTTCGGTTCTAAATTTGTTGATCGGGTTTCGAAATAAATAACAATGGAAGGTTAAGGGGTAAAAAGCTTATAATTGATGGAAGGTGAGGGACCAAGTGAAATTTTGGTCACCTACTTGTGTTTTATTAAGTTTGGTCCAATAACATATCTGGATGATGGTTTTTGTAAGGAATTCACATAGGGGGGAGGAGGAGGCTGGGTGCAAACCCATACACCGCCTCACATATCCTTTTCCTCTATTATACATATATAGTTTGAAAGGAGAAATGAAAGTTTTTGGGATATGTTCTTGTGGTTTTCATTCAAAGAAGAAAACAAGATTCAAATACTGGTTCGGTGAGATTTTGGTTGACATTGGACGAGGTGAGTTTTTACAAAGTTTTTGTAAAATATATATTATTACGTTACACGTGATTTACTTTGATACATGAAAGTATGTGACGTATTTGGATTTGAAAAATTATGTCTGTTAATGCATGGTCTTCTCCCAAGCTTTGGGAGATGAGGGAGTGCTCATCCCCCAAGCTTTGGGAGATGAGGGAGTGTTCATCTCCCAAGCTTTGGGAGATGAGGGAACTCATCGAGTTTGTTCACCGTTTAAACCTAGATAGTTGGCGGGGCATCCGCGGTAGTTCTAACATTGAGATCAGAACCAAATTCATTAACATTTTGATTTATTTGTTGCGATGAGTTATATTCGAATGCGTTAAATGAGTTATTGGATTACTTGATGCGATAAATCGGTAATGTCTCATCTTTTAAATGTGATAAAAGATGTTTGTTATATCATAAAGTTGTATATTTGTTATTCTTACAAATATGAGTTTATAAATGTGTTTGGTGATTATTCACACAGTAATAGCATGCAAGA